ACTGACTCAGCCACCCAGGCGCCCCAAAATATTCCTGTTGTATTCTTGCCAATGAGTTCAAAGCCCTGCTCTTTTCCCCTTAAAGGAGATCAGGAAGACAAGAGGAAGGCTCCTGTTCGGGAGACAAGGGGGCAGGCATTGTCAGAATGGGGCTGTCGGCAGGGTCAGAACGGAGGCATAAATATTCTCCGATTTCTCATCTCCATTGTGTCTGAATTGATAGCACAGTGTGCCTTGGAACCAAGTGATGGGTTGGGGTCCCAGTTCACAACTGAGCATTTGTCTTTGGATGAGCTGCTTAACCTCTCTGACTGCCTGTTGTCTCTGGGGCCTGTAACCACAGCCCGGGGCCCGTGTGAGGCTCTGTGGAGCTGCATTAATATAGGTGCTGGTGCCTGACGCATAGTAGGTGTTCACAGAACATATGTTTCTGCTCTTCCCTGCCTCTGTCCTCCTCTCCAAAGAGAACTACGTGTCTCAGTCAGGATTAACCTATCAAGACAACTTTTCTGGAAGTTAGTTGAAGGGCAGATCCTTTAGGGGAACATGAATAGCTTTATAAATTGCCTTCAAAAGTTGCACCAAATCCTTTAGTCAGTTTTAAAGGAACTGTTTACCTCTGCATATGGCAGTCATTATTTGGAATAATAAACCCTCTGAGAATCTGAACATTCATGGGCCAACAGATGGGTCAACCTGCTTCGCAATTTAACAAAGTAATTTATTTCAATCACTGGGACAGGGCATGTGAAGATTACTAATTCAGTTCACAAGCAAAAGGAACAAACACCAATACGTGGCTGAATTGTGCAGTCATTATGGAAATGCACACCTGTTCAATTGGTTCTGAGGCAGTCTTCATTTCGATCAGTCTTGCCTTTCCTTCGAAGGTGTGTATAAATTGCCATGGATTCTTCTGCCGAAACGCATGTGCTAATTGGCATCAGGATGAGATAAAGATCTCAGAGAAAATTTATACCATAGCGCAAGTAAATTAAGGTCATCAAAGTCGGCTTTGGGAAGTAAAACAGGTGTATCAGAAGTATATTCTTGTAATAATTGGGCAATGTGTTGTTCTTTCTTCTTGACACAGTCTGCCCAGGGTTTAATAAGGAAGGAAAAAAGCCAGAATCTTTCATCCTTCATCTTCAAATCTGCTTAAATCTTCCACATCTTGACCTCCTCTCTCTTTCTCCATCCATGCTTTCTCAGGAGCCAAAGGGAGCGAGGAAAAATTGGACAGAGTTTCACAGGAAGATATCTGTATGTGCTCAGAAGTGGAATTTAAGTGTTACAGAGAACTGGAGTGGAATACCCCTGATCTTTCTCTCCCTCCACCCCACACCCTTACACCGAATTGGACAGAACTTCCATGATGTTGTCAGGAAGCTTCCCACAGAAGATGGCGCCTGGCTTGCATTTAAGATCTGCCATATGTTGGATTAGATGATTAATGCTACAGGATGGTTTTGTTGCCCTTTTTGAAAGGAAGATCCCTTTCCTTCTTCTATATAGTTTTCCTCCACTTTGAGAACTAGTGTTATTAATTCAAAGTAAATGACTTCTGTCTTCCTCACCAGCCCTCCCTGAATATTTATTTATTGAGTTGCCTTCTCTCTGCCAAAGGCCAGGCTGGCTATTGCACTTTTAACCCCATGTCATCCCCCAGGCTGTGGGGAGATGGGGAAGGGGGATGGGTGGGACAATTATTGTTCAGCAGAGAGATTGCTACAGTTGGAAGTAAATGTGAGTTACCGAGCCAGAGCTCTTAAAAGACATATTTTTTTTAATAAGTCTCCATGCATATTAGGACAGTGAATAAATATCCCAGGAGGGTTGCAAAATTGCGATATATCATGCAAGTTTATACTTATCAAATTTTCAACACCCCCGCAAACTCAGGGACCGTGTATATAAACTCATTTAAAGGCAATGTGAAGTCTCACTTTGAGAAATTCCATGGATCCAAAGTCTGGGTCAAGTGGCCCCTCCCCCCCCCCCCCCCCCGCCCGTCTGGCCCTCGCAGTCCTGCCCTGTCAGCCCCTCCCCCTTAGCTCCACTGGGACGGCCCACCTCCCCACATCCCTGCCCTGCCTCTCCCAAACACTGCAAGCTCAAAGTGTCTCAAACCCACGTTTTCACCTTCCCCCCAGTCACCATATCAGTATGTCTGTCTCCACTTCCTCTTGAGGTAGCGCCATATTGTCATTCCCCTAGCACTGCTGCCTTGGCATCGTTCCTGACACTCTGACCTGTTTTCCAGAGCTGTTGGCTCTTCCTCTGCGAGTGCCTCCAACCCTGCGGCCGTGTTCCTCCTCACTGCCCCGGCCTCAGCCAGGGCCCTGGGGCCATTCACCTGCACTTCATCAGACTTTGCCAGAGGCGTCTCCTCCTCCAACCTCTCATCCACACCACTCCACTCTTTGCCCACCTGGCAGACTGATCTTCTTAGTACCCAGACCTCCCCCAGCTCCCTCTTGCCCATAGAATTAAACCGAAACTTGCCAGCCTGAGGATCAGCCCTTCTAGAAGAGCCACTTTCCATTCCTGTCTCATATCCCTCCCTTCACACACTTCAGGTGCACGATAAGCAAGAATACTGGCTGTTCCTCAAACTCGTCTTTGCTTTTCCACCTCTGAGCATTCATGTTCGTTCCTCTGCTTGTGCGCCATCGCCGAAATTCTGCTGGGTGAAACTGTACCCTTCCTTTAAAGTCCACTTCAAATGCTTCAGGAAGCCATCCCCCCTCTCCATGCCCCCCTTGAGCCAGATGGAAGGCTCTATCTTTTGAACACTAGTAGCTCTTTGAGTCTTTTACTGTCTTATGGAATCTGTCTTTTACTAACTGGAATTTAGCTCAATCCCAGTACACACACACTTAGCAGGTACCTATTAGGAGCCAGAGACGGTGGTATGTGCTAAGGTTAAGCAAGATAGATATTGAAAGTCCTTTTCTGGGGCACCTGGGTGGCTTAGTCGGTTAAGCATCAGACTCTTGATTTTGGCTCAGGTCATGATCTCATGGTTCGAGAGTTCGAGCCCTGTGTCAGGTTCCACACTGGCAGCATGTAGCCTGCTTGGGATTCTCTCTCTCTCTCTCTCTCTCTCTCTCTCTTCTCTCTCTCTCAAAATAAATAAATAAACTTAAAAAAAGAAGATTCTTTTCTTCATGGCATATATAGTGCAATGGAGAAAGCTGACAGGTCAATAGTCAATTATAATAAGATCATTAAGTAAGATCGTATCTGAGGGTAGCACAGAGATAGGTTGCTCACATAGACTGTAGGAGAATCAGGCCCAGGGTGGGGGGAAGAAGAATGCACACACAACCTTCAGTTATTTGTTTTTTAATTTATCTTTTCTGGATGGACATGTTCTTGAGGGAGCCTGGCTCATACCACTGCATTCCCTTCAGGTCGGAGTATGGTGCCTACACACAGACAATGAAACAACTGTTTTTGCAAATAGCACATTAAGTCTTAAGTGTTCAGGAAGTTCCCTGGTGGAGAGCTAAGTCTTGGGAGAAAAGTAAACTAGAATAAAATGCAAAGAGGACTTCTGACAGTAAAGCTTATACTTGTTTCCAGAGCTTGAATTGGCCAATGTGCCTTCGCCACGTGGAGAGCTGTCTTCATCATTCGTCCCATTTTACAACTTTTCACAAATAAAAGTACAGGCTTTGGAGATGAGATCAGGAAAAGGCATGTGAAGTCCAATGGCTTTGTGGCACCATTAATCCCCTCCGGAAACGGAAACGGCCAGTACCTTTAGTAGAAGGAGTTATGTAGCGCCCACAATAGTGGTTGGATCAGCGGATGCTGGGCACCGAATATGTTAGAATTTGGGGGAAACCTTCTAAATTTTACAACATGTTGGCTGGGGTCTACAGGCTGGCAAGCTGTTGACCAAACCCTTTTCTTTTCCTTCCCGGGATTGGATGTGTGGTTCTCGCCTCACTTGTGGTTCATTTGATCAGGCGACTGAGTTCCAGCCTGTGGAATGTGAACAGGCCTAGTGGGCCCCACTTCTGCCTCTACGCTCTGTCTCTTTGCTGCAACATCCCTGTGGAAGATGCGGAGGCAGAGATGGAAACAGGGTCTCTGGATTCCCATGTGAAAGCTGCCAGCTTGTTAGGTATGCCATGTTGGGCTGTTTGGTGAGCAAGAGGAAAATTTCCACCATGTCAAGCCACTGAGACTGGGGTTTACTTGTTAGACCAGCTGGTGTCACCCTAACTAATACAATCCGCTCTATACTGTGTTCAGGAAAGTGAGGACAAAGAAGCGAAGCATCCCTAATGGGCAAACTTTGAGGCCAGACTTGCCTTGTGCTGGGTTTGTTGCTTTGTCTCTGAGTGCCCTTGGTGGGCCTCAAGAAGCGGTTGCTTTTAGATTTGTTCAATAGTATATTTGAAGTTGTTCTGCATTAAATTAAAAAATCAGTAGTCTGCATGTGGATGCAAATTCCTAATAGCTTTAGCAACTGAAGAAAAATTTCCAGATGTTTCACAAAGCACTAAAATACTGTACATTGTTTTCTTTTTCAATGGGAAATTATTCACAGGGCAATAAAAAGTTGTTTCTTCAGTAAACAGATTATGTTTCAGTCTGCGGTGTGAACACTTAAATGGAACGGTGCAATATGCCGCTTTTTAAAAGAGGGTTTTAAACATGTCAGTACAAACCTTTCAGCCCTCTGTCCCATAAATTCAACTTTTTAAAATGAAATCAACCTGAGCCTTGTGAAAGCTCACACTACTATATCAAAACCAGTGAAATCTGCCTGTTTATTGCCACTGATGGAATGTGGCAAAGAAACATTCTTTTCACATGGGACAATTTCTTCAACTTTACACCAAGTGAAATTTAATTGCTTTCACTTCCTGGAATCATTAGGCATGAGTCCCGCTGGAGGCGGGGCCAAAAGGAGAAGGTGAAAACTAAGTCTGTGTTTAATACATCTCATCTTGGAATTTTTATCCTTCTTCTCTCTCTTACAGGTTATGTAGCAGGTTCCGGCCTGGGAAGCCACTTCAGACAAATTTAAGGAAGAGGGAAATTATAAAGGAAAAGAAGCAACAGGTGTCCCATTGTGACTGGTAGACCTCGCAGAGGTAAATGGCATTCAAAGCAATTCCTGATCGTTACTCTCAGTCCAACAATTGGAATTTCTGATTCTTTCAGGTTCACTTTTGGTGTGTGTTTTTGTCTTCACACACACACAAGCAGTAAGTGCAGTGCCAGGTCAGCACAAAGAAACACAGGCAAGCCTTTCTCTGGGGGGTGCTTATATTCCAGGTGGGACAGTCAGAATTGGATGAGACAAGTGCTGTGCACGATTGGTATTTGCATTGTGACAGATTGTTTCACTTTTCAAAGGGATTCATGGATCCTTTGATAGTTAGTTATAAATCATCTATTAGAGTTCTTTATGGAGTTTTTGAATTGGTATTGTGGTGAATACTTGACAGGAAGAAGGAGAAAGGGTAATATTAAAGGCCTTCGATAAAGTCACTGCCCTAAATGAAGGTGAACAATCTTCATGGACAAGGGAAGACAAAGGGAATTGAGAGCTACTGGGAACCCAGGGATTCCAGATGACACTCACTTTGTAGAGTGAAGTACACCCGTGTTACATGTTGTAAATGTCCTTCCCCACTTCTTAGAACTCTCATCCCATGATAACCTGCAAAGCATTCATTGTGATCATAAGGAAGGACATGGTGAATAGATGTCTGAGATTTGAAGACCCTTCACTCTTGGGAGCCACCAAGGATGGGATACAGAGTTGAAAAATGTCCAAAGGGGAAACATAACAGGACTTTTGGGGGGGAAAGGGGAAAAACAATTAAGTGAGAACAGCAATTTTTTAATAGGCAGGAACTTCAGTTTATATACATGTTGGTTTCACAGTTCAATAGAATTGGATTCTGAGCATCCTGGAACTCAGTTTTGTTTTTCAAAACAGTGGGCACCATTCTTTCCTAATGGGTATCTATAAACTCTGTGTGTGTTGTGTGTATTAGACAATGAAGAAAATAGTTATTTCCTACTAAAGCATTTTAAAATGTGGATAATTTGGGGCACCTGGGTGGTTTAGTTGGTTGAGTGTCTGACTTTGGCTCAGGTCATGATATTGCGGTGTGTGAATTCGAGCCCCACATTGGGCTCTGTCTGACAGCTCAGAGCCTGGAGCCTGCTTTGGATTCTGTCTCTCACCTCCACCCCTCCCCTGCTCATGCTCACGCTCTGTCTCTCTTTCAAATATAAATAAACATTAAAAAAAATTTTTAATGTGGATAATTTGGGTGCAAAAACACCCAACTGGATTGAAGTCTCCATATTTCATTATGTTTGATTACTCAGACTTCCAGTTTACTTTGAAGGTATATTTTTCAGGATAGGAGGATAGAAGGTATTTCATTTGATTGTTCATTAGCTTGATTTTAAGCTAATATATATATATATATATATATATATTAAGTTTATTTATTTTGAGAGAGAGAGATAGAGAGAGAACGAGCAGGGGAGGGGCAGACAGAAAGAGGGAGAGAGAGAATCCCAAACAGGCTGTCAACATAAAGCCTGATGTAGGGCTCGAACTCATGAACCCTGAGTTTATGACCTGAGCTGAAACCAAGAGTCGGATACTTAACTAACTGAGCCACCCAGGTGCCCCAAGCTTATAAGTATTTGGATAGGTGGTTTTGGGGCCTCCATCTGTCCTGTTGAGCCAGGCCCCCCAACTGTTAGGGAAGAACTAACCTAAAAATCCTCAGCCTCTTCCCTTTCTCTCCCTTACATCCAGCAGATAGTAAAGATTTTGACCTCCAAAGCCCTCCTTGAATTTGCTTCACTGGCTTCCACCCCAATGTAAAGTTCAGTTTAGGAGAGGTTTTTCCTTATTAAGAACTTTGTCCCACAAGGGAGGAATGCTTTCTGAGAGCCTCTGTATAGTTTCTCTTCTAGGCTTTGGGGAGGTTATACTAGCCAGACAGACCCAGTCTCTGCATTTATGAGGCTTAGTGGAGAAACAGACATTCAAAAACAGACTACCTCAACTGCCACTTATCTACCATGTGGTCAGTGTGAAGAGGCCTGCAGAGGAAGGTTACAGAGTCTGTGAGTGTGTCTGAGGTAGAACTTGGCAAGGTTTCTTTATTGACTCTTTCTGCCAAGACTTGACACTTGCGTAGGATTTGATTGGGAAAAACATATATGAAGACCATTCGGGGCAGAGCTCAGTTCAGGGAGGCTAGGAATGGGCAGCTAGTGGGAGAGGAGGCTGGGGCAGGTTAGTCATGCAGGCAGGGAGAGAAGAGTGGTGAGAAGTCAGTACATATTGCAAAAGGTTTGGAAGGGGCCTTGCCTAAATCAGAGTTGCTTGCAAAGATTTTAGCCTGTTCTTCCTGGGGGGTTCCAAAAACATTTTTTGGTGTGTGTCACCTGGGCTGAATCTCTTCTTGATGGGGCTGCAAGCAGAACTTTGTGGGCCCTGGTAAGATTTTGTATAGTGATCCGAGAACAATGGGAAGCCACCAGAGGGTTTTAAATCGAAGCATTGTCTTATGCTTACCAAGTGCCAGCAACAAAACTGTCATCTTGACCCAACAGAATAAGTAGCTCCCAATGTTGAGACTTGAAGGTTTTGCAAAGAACATTATAATGTGTGTGTGTGTGTGTGTGTGTGTGTGTGTGTGTGTTTATGACAAGTCATGACAATTAATTTTTAGAAACTGTTTAAAAGGGGAAGGGGTTAGTGAAACATGAAGACATTTGATCTGCCTAATTGCTGTTGAACCTAACAGCACACAACTCCACTAAAAGAGAACTGAACTCAGTATTAGCATCTGACTTATAACTGTTTGAGACCAATTGATTTTTGCAGTAATCTCACTCATAAAAAAAAATTGTATTCTTAAAAGAAATTCATGGTGAGAGGAGCAGAAGCTAACGTTGACATATCAGTCTTTGATATGGAGGTACAGTAGGCAGACATGAATTTTCCCAGATTAAAAACAAATGTGTAATGGAAGTTGAAATATAAAGAATTTCTCCATTTATCTTCTTGACTAAAGGGAGAAAAAAAGCATCATACACATTGTAGATCATTTGAGTTTTAGGCTGATGATTTGAAACATTTTTATAATAATTCAGTGGCTCTTTTTGAATATCCAGATGTTAATAATGGTTCCCTGCTATGTGATTAGGAATGAATCTGCCAAGGAAAAATGAAGCCTTCTCTCTTGGGGAAAGTTGAGTTACTTCTGTTATTTTCGCAGGCTTCCTGGGGAAGTCTATCAACATCCGAATAAATGATGGGAATAGGAGTCTGGCTGGTCACCACGGAATTATCAGCCTTGTTTTTTGAGTTAGACCTTTATTATTTACACACTCAGTTTGAAATATGACAAATGTAGTAACCTTCCAATGATTTTATTTCTTGAAATCCAGCAATCCTTATAGGTTTTGAGATTGAAAAGCCTGCGCTATTTTAAAAAAAAGTTTCTGTTGTCATTGCTTGTGAAAACCATGACTGCTGCCTAAATTAAGAAATAATATGAATAGGGGCTCCTGGGTGGCTTAGTCGGTTAAACGTCCGACTTTCGCTTAGGTCATGATCTCGCGGTTCGTGGGTTCGAGCCCCGTTTCGGGCTCTGTGCTGACTGCCAGCTCAGAGCCTGGAGCCTGTTTCAGTCTGTGACTCCCTCTCTCTCTGACTCTCCCCTGCTCACGCTGTCTCTCTCTCTCTCTCCTAGAAATAAAAAAAAAATATATATTAAAAAAAAAAGAAAGAATATGAATAATATGAATAACAATGGGGGGTTCCTTTCTTTAGTTGAACTTTTTTGGGAAGAGAAATAGCATTTCTTTTAAAAAAAAAAAGAAAAGAAACATTTAGAAACTATAAACATCTCTTAGAGATGTTTCTCAGAGTAACCGGCTTGGATAGTTTTTGTTTTATTGCTCTATGCCTGATACGGCACCTGCTTGAATTTTCTCCTTAGTGTTGAAGGTCCCATGCTAGGTGTCTTCAGTCTAGAATCCCTTTCAGTATATTTATGTTCAAGCATTAAAATACCTCATGGGGTGTTTTTCTATTTTTGCAATCTTCATGTATACTTAGGAGCTGGAGCATTTCTAGTATAATACTTAAAAATGAAGATTTAAATAAAAAGACTGCTAGATCGGAGGTTTTCAAGGCATGGCCCATGGACCACTTCCTGGGAATCCACAAGATTGAAGTGTTTTCATACTAACAGTAAGATGCTATTTGCCTTTTTCACTGTGCTGTCATTTACACTGAAGGTACAAAAACAATGGCGAGTAGGCCTGCTGGCTCCTTAGCATAAGTCAAGGCCAGGCACCAAATAGTACTAGTGCTCATGTGTTCTTCACCTCCTTTGACTTACAGAGGGGAGAGAAAGCCAATTTTATTTAGGAACACCCTTGATGTAGGTGTAAAAATTATTCATTATATTAAAACTTGAGTCTCAAGTATACATCCTTTTAATATTCTGTGTGACAAAATGGGACGCGAGCATAAAGCCTTCTCTTGCACCTTGACGTACAATTGTCTTGAGGAAATGTCTTGTGAGATACTCTGAGCTGGGAGCCGAACAGTCACTTCCTCCATGGAGCCCATTTTCCCCTGCAAGAATAACACACCCACTGTGGATATTTAGACTTGGCAGACGTAGTAGGTCTTTTTATGAGAATGAATGAAATATGCTTATTATGTCAAAGAAGTCACCCATTGCATGTTTGGCTAATAAATAACTAATTTAAGCTTTCAAGAGAAAATTGGAATTTGGAATTGGAAAACTTGTATTTAGCACCATGAGCTTGATAAATTCTGAATAGTTAAAGACTTTCCTGATGGCATCAGAGGTGATGGTAACACATGCAATATTTTAGCTATTAAAAATTAAACGGGATAATGTTTGGAAGAGTGAACCAACATTTCCCCAACACCCAATAGTCAATGTGAAGAGAGCATGCATGGGTAAAAGAGTTACTTAAGGTGCAAAGTATAAAATGAATTTTAATGTAACAAAGTATCAAACGTTAATTTTTATAGTTTCAGACTCTATGCATAAGTAACCTTTAAGAA